TGCTTATTTATTTATTTATTTCAAGCTGTGTGCAATAGACTTACCTCCACGTGGTGCACCCTGGGCAACGTATACTCATACGGCAAAAAAGTCTATTAACCGGCATTTGACTTCTGACTTCAAAATACCATGGCCCGACTGCTTGTCATATTCGACCCCTTACACAGTACTCATCTTACCTTTTTCCCTACCTTTGTGTCTGTCTGCCTCTCTTACATCTGTGAATCACTCTTTTGTTCCCCACCCCTCGACATTATGCTACTTTGATGAACCTTCCCTCTGTGAAGCCCGAAGTCAGCTAAATGGTTAATGATAGATATCAAAACGCCTGCCATTTGAAATAAATAAATAAATGGAGTTAGAGCTTTACCTAATAAAGGGCACTGTGGCAAGTGCCCACTAAATTCGCATGAATTTGTAATGATGGGCAAGCAAAGTATACACTTCTCAAAATGAAGGCAAGCGGGGGTTACGACTAATTAATAGAAGTAATTATTTAATCAAACTCTAACTTTGACATTTAAAAGCAACCGTGCAAAACGGTCAATATTGGTTTTATCGGCTGAGTTCGATCAAAACTGTTGCTTCTTCAATTAATAGGGGAGTGGTCTTTATGGGTAGTTTTGAGCTGATCTACTAAAATCTCTTTTCTAGGTAAGAACTTCTGAATTAAATCCATTTTAGTTTCAGTTACGTTTATGAGAAATTAGAGTTCATCAACTATCATTGCGCACTAAATTGTAAGTTGCTAGACAGAATGTTGGCCTTTTAGTTGTGGCTTGGAATACAACTGGAAAGGAATTAGAATTGTTCTGATTTATTATGGTATGAAAGTATATCACCTCAATTTGCCTCTGCTTTTGAGAGCACCAAGCAACTAAACAAATACCTTTGTAACCAAAGGAACAAAGATCAGTGAATCGGCAAAGATTATCATTTTATTGCAAACCTTAGAGTTGCTTTAAGTTATTTTAGGATGGAGTATTTTTAAGCTTGAAAAATTTAGAATTTAGATTACCATTATTATTAAAAGAAAGCAATTAAAATATTTATACCACATGGAAGTTTGATTTACGTTTGTCAGCATTACAATTGACCACAAAATATGTAAAGGACTCTTCCTATGTTTTAAAATAATCAAAAGCTAAATAGGAACATTTTTACAGCCAAGAAAATGAGATCTATAGCAGCTTTTCACTAAATATCTTAAAACGCGCACTACATTTCTTATTAAATAAGAAAGAGTGAGTGAGAATACTTATTAAATAAAAAACAGCGATAAGTTTAAAAAATTTGTTTAAATAAACTTCCTCATATACGGTACTTTTATACTTTGAAATTATTCAGACCTCATAACTTTTTATTGCCAAATTCTAAATAATAACTGGATGGTTAGACGTAAAATTCGTCATATTTCTAAGATCGGATAAAATTATGCAAAAGAAACCTTCCGGAGACTTAATTAGAAATTATTAAGTCACCGACCAAAATCTTACATTTCAAAATTATTAGATAAATAAGATTTTGCTATTAACGAGGACATGAGAAGTGAGAATTAAATTGATATTTATTTTCTTTAAACGTAGTAATAGGGACTATTCCAAGTAGCAACATACCGCACAAACAAGTGTTGAAAGTATTCACCATGAACTTCGATAACCGATTCAGTGTGTTTCAACATGCCTCTTTTTCTTGGCTAAATGTTAAAGTGTCTGAAAATAGCTGATTTTATGATATCCTATGCACGGTGATAAGGTGGTTCTTAGGTTAAAAATTTGGCCAAAACATCGGATGCTGGGCAACCAAGCTCTAACTAAGGGGAATTCAAACTTAGGCTACTATGAAAAATACCAACAATTCTATATCTCTCATGATTCGCTTAAATTATCGAGTTACAAATTATTTTATAATATCTTTAAAACTAATAATTAGCTAATTACACAAACTAGAATTGAGGCCAGCTATTAATTGCAAAAGGATTAGAAACCGTAACATTTATCTATTCTATCCGATGACCACAAAGGAATATAAAATGGTTAAACAAATTTTCATAATCTGTGCATTAAGTTGGCAGGTAATCTTTGAAAAAGTGTTCCACAAAATGGAATTCCAAATGCCAACCACTCAGGATGATCTTTTGAAATCGATTCCATAAATGAAATAGGAATTACTAAAAGTAATAACAAAAAATTATAATTAAGTCAGCTTATCGATTGCAAACCTTTATTTTCTCAATGGTTTTTTTAAATTTAATAATTGGAAAATTTCACTTGCCATAAAATTAGACAAAATCACTAATTGGGAAGTAATATAAGCACCAAAGATGGCCACAACTATTGGTTTCAGTCAAATATTGGTGAAAGACAACATTTGTAATTTATAATACTTACTTCACATATAAAGTGGAATTTTATGCTTAATCAAAAATGCGATTGATAGTGAACTAATGCGCGTATTAATTGCAACAAGAGCCCAAGTAGGATTTTCGAAACTATAAGTATGTGAATAAATAATCGAGTTTTTCACTCAGTAGGTCACGTTATGTCGTCTCAATAGGTTGACAGCTATATAAAACTCCATTAAAATTGTTTTAGTGACACACTCAACTGACAGCTTCAGTCTATATATTCCACTAGTTGCAAACATGAGCGAAATAGACCGAATGATACCAAGACCAAATCACTCTATTGTAAATGTGAAAATTCGTTTATAAATGGAAGAAATAGTGATCTGCAAGCCATTAGTGTAGACTAAGAATGGTTCATGATGTTACATTTACCGTAATAAGGAGACAAAAGAGAAGCGTTTCATGTTCCTGAATTTAATTAAGGAGGTTACGTTAAGATAACTGAAGATTTTACAAAATAATCATCCAACCGGACAGCCAGTATTTGAATCCTCCCACAACAGTAATCATGGCTAACACAATTGTTAAGAGGTAGACTTGAATATTTTCAGTGCATTCGATGGAATGGTCCCAGTGTGCACACTTTTTACTGAATTCTATTCTTAGACAAGTCTTTTCTATAAATAGCGAAGAATTCACGCTGCAAATAGAGACCAACCACTCAACTAATTATTTTTTACATGTTCAACCTTATAAAACAACATTTTTTGAAATTGAAGCGTGATTTGAGCAACTAATCATTCATAATACTCTACCTGAAGTCGGAGTAATTTTTTCATTCAAGGAAGATAATAAATGAGTTAGCTTTTCAAAAAGTGCAGATAATTCGAATTTACATATTATAGCGTAATGGAAAACCTTCAGGTTTTAACTTATCGACTCAGTAAAATCTCAAAATTGGCATTATAATCAAATTTGACGCGAATGATCAAAACACTTGCTTATGTATCGTAAATAAAATTAATACACATATTTCTCAATAAGGCGAGGCAGATTTATTTATGAAAAGGAGAAATCGATTTTAGACAGTAAAATTAGAGAAGGAATTAGAGAATCTGCTTTCTAATAAACTATTCTCTGGATTATTTTTAATGCAAAACTCCAAAAGCTGTTTTATGAACATTGTTATATAATTAGGAAAAACTATACTGTTTAAAATCAATCTAAACGAAAAAATAAATATTATTTGATGGAAAATTGTCAAATATATTTTACTTACTCTTTATTGCTGCAATAACTAACCTTGTAAATGAATTTAAGTGCACCAATAAACTGCACATTTTCAGAAATTACAATCTGACGACTCTAGCCGAGTGATTCTACGACCATTTAGTGCGTATTGTCATGTTTTAATTTTAATAGAATACCCCAAACCTTTAATGTAAATTTTGCCATGTTTCGCAAATTATTTTTTAATTAGTCTTTCTTACAGTTGAGTAATTTTGCGGTTTCTATGTTGTGAATTTAATTTTGTTAGGAATAGGAATAAGAAAAACAATGCAGATATCATTAACAAACAAAGGAGTATTCGTTCTTGCCATAAGTGCCATCAGTCTCCTCCTATTTCTCTTCTCTGATAATGGCAAGACCGGATATGAAGCGAATCCAGACGTAATCAGTTTGAGAACAGTGTTTTTGACTACGGTGACAGCTGTGGAGGAAGCTGGTGCCGCAATAAAATCCATGCAAGGTCTTAAATCCCTCCATCTGCACAAGAAATCTGCTGTGCTCCGACTTGATCGTGCTAACAGTGTAACCAATGATGAAATCGTTACAGAAGCCGATCTCGTCTCAAACTACGTCATCATTCGACGCATTAAACTTCTACGACCAGATTTTATCGTGAGTTTTCTATTGCAGGAGTATGTATTTTTCGTCTCTTTACCTAAATAACTTCTTTACAAAATTTGAATATAGTTAATTAAGTTTGTATATTAAACACTCAAGTTTATCAGGTGTGTTGTTCGCCCTTCAACTATGTGTGCTAGTATATGCTGTTATATCTAGAATATCTTAACACCCATTAGTATTTAATTTCCCTTCATTGTGTTTTCCTTTGAGCTTTCGCCTACTTCTTATTCAGAAATTTTGTGTGTTTATTATCGACAATCAGTTATAAACCAAGGCCTTGCCTCTCCATTGCTAAGTGCTCCATGAATTTTTCTCATGAGCTTTTATGCATTTTCGCTCTTATACTATACGCCCATTATTTGCGTTTGGGGATTCAAATTTGCACCTGCGGAAATTTTCCTCCGATTTTTACATGAAAGTTGTTTCCTATCCTATTGGAAATTGGGCTGGCTAAATTGATGACTCTCTTAGTTCTATAAACCCTCCAGACTTCCAGTTATTAAAGGCAAGATTGATTTGGTAATTGTTGATGAAATTGTTTCGTGTTTGGGTATAAATTGGGAATCCTGACTTTGTAAACTATGCCTCTTCTGTGTTACTGCGGTGCTAACAGGTCCTGTTTATGCCCACTTTTTCAGATTTGAGCGTGAATGTCAATGTCGAATGCATTTATCCCAATACGTATTGTCAATCAAATAGATGCCTTATGTAGGAATTTAAGTTTATGTCCCAGATAACGGTCCAGCCTTCGGGGACGATGTGTGCTCGAATTTGGCTTAAGATGATGGAGAACTTAGAGAAAGTCTGCGGAAACTGCTTATTCCAAATTACAAATACTCTAGTTAATGAATAAGCCTGAGGCAAGTTTTGAGAGAAGGGTACATCATACTTTCCTTCAAGAACTAACATTTCAGTCTCAGCGCCTTCAGATTTCATAGTGGTTTAAGAAGCCAAATTCGAGCGCTTTTTCTCAGGCAAAAAAATTGAATAAAAGCACATATTATGTGCGATCTCTCGACCACTGTCTCGTCGAACGTGCATGTCGACTACCAGCGCTCAGATGCTCAAATCTTTTCCCCTTTTCACTTATATTTCATGTCATCGATATGAGTCGTAAAGGAAATTCACAATGGTGTAGCGAATATTGGAGTGCGTGAAATTTAAAAAATGCCCTTAAGACCGAAATTCTGACTTATACTTTAGATTTGTTGTGGTGGTACGTGCAAATTGCATCAAATATTACAATCCGACAACTTATAGAACGCTGTGGTTTTATCCATGCGATCTTCATATCTGCTGAGTTGGTTTAATCTACGTTTGTCGTAATTCTAACGCGATTTTACGCTTGTTCAATTTCATTCAAAATATACAGATGGAGTAACTAATATCATACTCTTCATTAAGATCTGTTAGATAAGTGAGATTTTTAACCTCATCTGGTTAATAAAATAATTTTCTACATTAAATGGAGCTTCATTTTGGAGGTCTTTTGAGGGAAAAATCCATTGGTTGGTGATTTGCATTCATATGTATTTACGTATCCACGTATTTCGCCAACCAAATTTTGACTCACTCAAACAGCTTTTTCTGTAGTGAATGCTTATATCGTCTCTGTGGTTAAGATTTTTCCTCTAATAATTTTCTTAAATTCTTCAAAATTTGTGAATGATGTTTGCATTTATCCATACTCAATTTTGTCTGTGGAGCGTTCAACGTATACACATTTGATTCGCCAGGTGAGATAAATTTGCATCATCCATAACCGGTGTCGCTAGTATCCGTCTGAGTTCTAGGTAACGCTAATGACATAAGGTAAAGACATGATCTGATTATTGATGTTGAATATGGCACAATGAGCTCGGTCGTTTCTCTGTTTACGAAGAAAGAGTTAAGAGGGTATTCTGGTCTAGAGGCATGAATTTTAGGTCATTTTTGAAGTACTGTAAAAGAAGGCAAGCAATATTTTTATTATCAATTTTTTATATATATTATTTATTCACCTTAGAAGCATACAAAAAAACTAAAAAATTTTAAATTTTGTTATTTATCAGCTGATGGAGTGGGGCGTCCCAAAAATATGGTGCATGACCATACCCACGATTTTAGCTCTCCAAGCAATCTGAAATCAAAAAATAAAAAAATTATCAATCTACAATGATGCCGCTATGTCCGGAACTACGGAAAAGTTTTAGCTATATTTTTTACGAA